GGCTATTGTGTATTTGTTGGAGGAAATTTGGTTTCGTAGAAAAGTAAGAAGCAAAATGTGGTTTCACGTTCGAGTGCAGAATCAGAATATAGGGCTATGGCTAAGTCTGTGTGTGAAATAATGTGGATACATCAGCTCCTCACCGAAGTGGGCCTCAAGATTTCAATACCGGCTAAGTTATGGTGTAATAACCAAGCTGCACTTCATAAATGGTGTAATAACCAAGCTGCACTTCATACTACATCTAATCCAGTCTTTCATGAACGAACTAAATACATTGAGATCGACTGTCATTTCGTTCGTGAGAAGATTCAGCAATGTTTGATCTCTACAGGGTACGTGAGAACAAGAGAACAATTGGGAGATATATTCACAAAGGCTTTGAATGGGATTCGGGTTGATTATCTTTGTAACAAGCTGGACATGATAAACATCTATACTCCAACTTGAGGGGGAGTGTTACAGATTATATTTCTAGAATAGGAAATAAGTATATTTGATTCTAATTTATAGGGATTTGACATAATTAGTTCATTCCTAATATAGGATTTGTACCTTGTATATATACCTAAGAGCTTGATGAATATAATAGAGAAATTATTTCGTTCCTCTCAGATTTACAATTAATTTAAATTGTCCAGTGAAAAGTAAGTTGTTTTTATGTTTATGATGCTAATATTTATGTATGTAATATTTCTATGGCTATATTTTATGTTTTGGTCCATAGTATGTATATTCTATTCAGAATGGCTAGGAGTTTGGTAGTGCTACGCACGAGAATTTAGAGTTACCTAACGTCGGTCTAATTTTCGTGTCTCCCTATGCAAGTTATGAATTTTTCGTAGAAATACACATATGAATTCATTATCCACGCACACTTATTGAGAATTATTCTCAGTTCTCAACCATTTATGTCTCTACTTTCAAATAATTGATGATTCGAGGCAGTCGACACGGAGATGGCTTTTGGTAGCAAAAGTTTCAATAACAAAATTATTACATTGTCAAATTATTGTTGTTTCACTTGATTTTAAATATTTTAAGATATTTCTCATTTCAAGTTAATTTATTAAACTCATTACATTATTTGAATTTTGATAAGTGCTTTAATAATTTATATAATTGTGTTGAATACTCTTTAAATTAGTTTTAGTTTATGATTTAGTGGCACTCATATCGTTAAGGGTTTAAGTCGTCACAGTTATCCCGACCATTCCCAATGTAACATCCCATCCATCCTCGAGCATTTTGAATTTCCCATTTCTCTCACCTGTAAATGGACCTTTATGAGCTTCTAAAATATTTCGTTGANCCTTTATGAGCTTCTAAAATATTTCGTTGATTCATAAGAATAAGCAACAAACTAATTGAAGATACCGAGAGTAGTGATGAATCCTGTCAGTAAAATATGTCCTATAGAAAGGCTCAGAGACCCACCAAAGTAGGAAGAACATCAAATTCTGTTTCCTTTCCGCAGGGTCCCCCGATCTACTGCAAGAAAGGGATATCAGAGGGATCGTACCATTTGAGCCAATTTTCTTTATGCCGTAACATTCGAGCCTTTTTTTTCATGCTTTTCCCAGAGGCCTGGAAAAGCTACAATGAAGAGAATTTCCCTAATCCTCCCTTCCCGAAAGGCCCAATGAATTGGGATTTCACTATTAGTCCAGGCTTTGACTATCAACAACAAATTGGTTGAAATTGAAACCAATAAGGTTGAAAGCCATAGTGCTGATACCTAAAGCAATGAACCAGACAACTACAAATTGGTTGAAATTGAAACCATTGAGGTTGAAAGCCATGGTGCTGATACCTAAAGCAGTGAACTAAATACCTAATACAGGCAAAGCAGCTACCACACACAATGGAACCGTAGACAGTCAAGTGAAATCCAATCCACGAAATAATTCTTCATTATTAATAAGATTGATAAAATGAAATAAATTCTTCTCAAGACGGTAAAAACCGAAGCAAAACAAAGTATGTAGTCATAGATGCAGAAATTTAAAACTCAAATCAAAATAGCAGCAGAAGATTGACAATATAGATAGATAAGAGAAGCTCAAGAAACATTTTCTAAAATGAAAGCCCTGATTGATTCAAATAACTAATCCTACAGCTGAGAAACTGCAACCGTTGAGAGGGTAAAATCCATTGAATAGGAACTATATTACAGACGACATTATTTGAACACCATCTAATTGAAGAATTATGTGAAACAAGGCAAAAAGACACCAACCTCCTCAGTGGTCCTAGGTTGGAGCATAAGCTTACTTGAACCTTTGTATTTCCTCATCCAATCCGTGTTTGCATCATCCAACTTCTCTTCGTCCTGAACTACACCTCTTTCTCCAAGGATCTTCTTAAAATAGCTTATATCATCTATATTAATTTGTGAAAAATCTGGGTTCCTCGTAGTTGATGCCACAGAAGCAAGATATCTAAGCTGAACTGCATAACTATTCCCATTAACTCTTGGGAAAGAACCCGAAGCCCCATTAACATTGCCTTGAAACTCTTTGTAGAAAGGTATATAACTTCTACCATAAATATATCGAACACCTGCAATCAATTAAAATCAATTTTTGTATACGAATTAGCAAAGGAAAATGGAAATCAAATTCTAACATTCCTCAAATGCTTGCTTTTAATGTGGTCAATCATATTTTGCTTTCTTCACGGAGAGACCATCTAATTGATTATACATTATTTAACTATGAAAATATATATTAAATTCGATCATTCATCTAATACTGAGAATTCACAACAACTTAAAGAAACACAACTCAAAGTAATTATAATTAAATAAATCAATTGAACTTTAACGAAGAAATTGAAAATTTAGCCAACATAATCATATAAATGTGTCGATGTAAGAATTGCACGAGGAAGATTATTATACGAGAAATTCAATTAAGATTAGTAATTGTGAGACGGTGTAAATTGTTGGTACCTGAAGTGAATGAATAATTCGATTGGCGCTCAAAGTTGGACGTGTATTTGAGCAGACGATAAGTCACTCTCCATTTCTTCATCATTGATCTATCTCCCTCGTAAAACTGATTCTGTTGCTCGACTCGACTCGACTCTACTCTAACTTAAAGAGATGGTGGGGTAAAAAAATTCAATTGGTCACTGAACTTATAGGAAAGTTTCAGTTTCGTCACTGAACTTTAATTTATTTGAAAATAATCATCCAACTCTAAGTTTTGTTTCATGTTGATGATTGAACTTTAATTTGTTCCAAATCAATCACTAAACTTTAAGTTTTGTATCATGCTGGTTGATACACTAGTTTCCATTTTAAAAATTAATCCTTTAAAAACTTGTACTTGTCCGATTTTGAGTTGCAAGGAGACTAATATAGTGACTAACGCGAATCAAAATTTATAAGTGGGTGTCGTACGACTACTTTGGAACATATTAAAATTTAGTGACTAACTTGAAACAAATCTTAAAATTAAATGATCAGTTTAAAATAAATTAAAGTTTAGTGATCAACTTCAAACTAACCTATAAGTATAGTGACTAGTCAAACTTTTTATCTAGACGTCGAGCATTTGGCTAAGAATAAAACAAATACTGGGAAGAATTCAATTTTCCTACTTTTACTTTACACTATTTAAAAAATAAAAAAATAACTTTCACATTTCAAAAATCAGATATTTTAAGCTACACACACACATATATATAAATAAATATTTATTTATTTATATAAATAAATAATTAAATAAATCTTTATATATAATTAATTAACCCACCCTCACCTCCACCACCTCTATCACTCCGGCGACTATTCCGATTCCGGCGACCGTTCCGACGAGTGCTCCGATCCTGCTAAATATTCTGACGACAAATCCGCCATTTTTTTTACAGTTGACATGATTTTATTCGTACAATTGTAACCACTATCAACACATATTCGCATTTGATGGTCACAACTTATTTGTTGTATGGTCACTGCCCATGTCACAAATCATAGCTATAAGTCACAACTCAAGTCACAGGTCACAATGTATGGTTGTTTGATAATGATTAATAATATAATAAGGCTCATGTCTCACATTTTTTTTAATAGTCACATGTTATTTTCAAATGGTCGCAGCAAATGTCACAGCACATGACTCATGTCACAGCATAAGTCACAGCACATGGCTCAGGTCACAGCATTGGTCACAAAGACTATACAGCACCACCTCACCACCACCACCGTCTTACATGCCCTAACCCTACTCTGCCAAACATCCGACGAAGCAGATCAAAGGAAGAAACCAACCCAAAAGCCCAAACCCAGCGCCGATGCACCCCACCACGCCACCAGAGATAAGGTCAACCACATAATAACCACTAACTCATCACCCCCACTGCACACCGCGAGAGCCACCACCATGGAAACATCACCACGGCACACAACACACCGTACCCACAGCACCACCACTCCACACCACCACCATCTCCACGGCCACCTACACCAACTCACTGTGACCTCCAGAAACCATCGCCCCTACAAAACCGCCTACTG